GCGCTCGACTATTTGAGTGCTTCGCCCAATTCGACTGTTTACTTTCTTTTGAAAATAAAGTACAAGGACCTCTCGGATCACTTTCTAACTTTTTTTCTCGTATTTTTGAGGAAATTTCCTATCAATTTAAGCAAAAAAATAAAATGGCTAAAAAATTTCATTTTACATGAGGTTCCCCCCTTAAAAAATCGTTTAACGAGTAGATGTGATCCCATCTCGTTTGCAGAGAGGAAGAAGATGGCCGTGCGTTTATGTCGCCGTCAGCGCATGCGCGGAGGACAACGACGCAGGGCGACTCACTTAAAAGTTTCCTGAGAATAGCGCATCGAAATGCAACTACACATATCCATCCAGATGAGACCTGACATAGTTTTTATTAGGGATTTATAACTGCGGCATTATTGGCCTATCTACTTATTGAATAATTTTGTTAATATACATAATTTTGGAACAGTATTTGCATACATTTTCATATATTACAATATGAAACAGAAAACTTACTTGAAACAGATTTAGGATTAAGCAAGTCATGCCAAATATTATCAAACAAAACACCATTACCTCGAATACCAAAAGTTTGGACAATCTTCAAAAACAGAAATATATTACTAAACATATTTTTTGTATATTGTGAGCATGTGTAACCAACTTCATAGCTTGTCGGTGAATATCGACGGCACATATTATATCCTCTCTCATCAAAATCTCATTCTTCAGCGTAATATTTTGTCGGATATTGATATTTATTGCATGCTCGATACGATAACTGTAAATGATTATGTCGTAATTATACAGCAATTTATTGAATGACACAATTTTTCAACTATAAACACATTATTTCATAAACTTTTTAAGATATTATAATCAAATAACAAGAAATACAGGACTTTTAGTTTTTTAAAAAATAAATCAAAGATATGAAGGACACATAAGAGTCAAAACGTAATTAAATGTAATTATATTAAAAAATACATTTTTCTTCGTACCTAGCAATTCTAAACATTCCACAGATATAACGACTACATGTAAAATTCATTGTTCCTAATGCTAAAGGCACAACTCCTCCGATGCATAGAAGTGCATAGAAGTGCAACAAAATTAAATAAAAGTATTTTTCTTGATCGATAAAATATTCTATCTTATTTAGATTAGGTAGACGAGATATATTTTTTGGTAAAACAATAAGATTCGATAAATACTGGCCGATAGTACAAATAGATCCGCTAATAACGGCAAATGCTAAAAAAATATTAGAAAACTTTTTTATTAATACTAGAAATTTTTTTATTAAAAATTCTGTAATATAAACCTATCAAGATTTATACAATTTAGCGCATACGCACGCGCACACATGCATGCACTATTTAGAATTACTCTGTATATTATTTATGCAATTTGTGCTATATATGTTATTGCTCAAATTGCATACTAATGTTATTAATCATTGTAAACTCATACATATGGCAAATACTTTAATAGAATTTATGCATATATAACAATATGTAGAAGTATTAATCACAAATTACATATTAATTGTAAACATAGATCTAAAAATATTTTTTTACTTGTGAGTATAATTGTGTCACGTCTTGCAATATAATTATATTCTTTTATAATAGCAGCTTCGTTTTTATCTTTCACTTGATTCCATATATTCTCAAATTGCATTAATACATCCTTTATCTGTTATTTCAATAATTTCATATTATATTTTTTTTTATAATATTATATAACAAATGTTTCATATATAAAATTTGATATGTAATATACAAAAATTCACTGGACATAGATGATTATGATGCAAATGTATATTCTGTAAGTTATCAACTTACAACTTTGATATTAACACGGAATGAGCCGTAAATTATCATGCAATAAATAAAGTAAGACGTAGAAGAAAGGACCTTGCTGAGATTTGAAGTACATTTTGATGTCATTAGCGTTGTGAACTATCAATAGTAATTTTATTTTTAATTATACACTTATAAAAAATTATAAATTTATATAACACTTATATTACGTAATAATGAGATAGACTACTTGATAATGAAAAGATTTGCAAAATGGTATCTTATTACACAATATTATATTCTGTTTTTACCTGAAATATAATACCCAATATCAGAATAGTAGAGAAGAAAATAAATTGAAATCGTGTGAATTTAGATTGGTGATAGGGCCACAAGCCGATAAGGAGCAATAGAATTCTATTGAGACTAAAATATTGAATACCTAGATGAACCATTTTCTACGATGTCCGAGATGCGACTGGTTACAACGCTCGAAGAGTACAATTATCCCTTCTCCTTTTTCATCGATTACCTTGATATTCTCTCTTATAATGTAAATTTTTAGTGTAAATGCTATAATTTGTATAATACGAGGCTATACAAAATATCCATTGTGAGATCATAATTTCATTAATATTTTAGTACTGTTTTTTGCAAAATTATTAAGGCATCTCTCCGATATCAAGACAATTTCGAATGAATTTCTTCTTTTAATAAAAATAAAAGTAAGACATTTATCACGCAAGCGCATATCCTTTGTTTTTTGATGCAATAACTTCATTTCCATATGAACTCTCACATAATACGTTTGATATTTGAGATAAATATTTTCTATACTTTTTCTTCGACATAGACCGTAATTAATACATCTTATGTTAATTTAAAACATGGTAATTGAACATTTTTTATCATAATGCTTTATATTTTGTAAACTATTAGAATATTATTAACGTTATTATTTATTGAATATTATTATAATAGATTCTACAATAAATTAATTGAATCTGTTGTTTATATTTGTATGATATGTACAGTTTTACTCACACTATGTTTACTTACTTTACTCATACGGACGTTTTAGATTTCATCAATGTATTTAGATTAATTATAATCTCGGTTTTTTTTTATCTATTGTTTATCTTTTTCTAATACTTAAAATTAGAAAAAGATAAACACTATGTTCTATTATTGAACTCATATTTATTCACCGCGTGGAATATATGACAGTAAAGTAAGATACCGAAGTCTTTACTAACTGCAATTAAAGATATCTTTTTTTACAATATTCATTTATAATATAGTAGATATAGATTGTTCGTATTATATTACCGTGGCAAAACACTCCATAGATGCATTAAATAGTCCACCGACATTCAGAGCAAACATCTTAGTTTCTCTTTGTAATAGAAACAGTATCATTCTTTGTATATGTAACGGAGCTCTATACCACTGAACGTTGTACCTATGAAATTGTATTATGTGTTGTACATAGATAACGAATCGCTAATTGACAAAAGAAACTTTCTTTATCAATTATTTTCAGTTTTGCTAATTTGTTTTGCAACTACATTACTTTTTACATCTGACAAAACAATTCTTAAAAGGCACATAGAAAGAACTTTTGCTATCAGTTACAAATGAGAAATTAGCAACATCACTTATTGTAAAGTTAAATCACAAATTATCTCTTTTACGAGTAGAGTAAATTGATGTTGCCATCAATCTGTTATATAATTCGAATTAACATGAGTAATATAAACATAATATTGTCTCGATCACCTTGCCCCGAGTTTGTCGAAATTAATTACTTCAAGAATAATCGACATGACTGCAAACTTATTGCATTTGGCCATCTGAGTTTTAGCAAATAATTCTTTCCGTGCAAACATTCATATACTCATCATGAAATGTTTCTTACGCAGTAGAGAATACATAATTATTGTGATCTATTATATTCTGTCCGATATGGTTGGATACAAACATGTATATAATACTGACAGTCATATATAACATCGGCAAATAAAATTCGCTGATAGTATTTTCAGATAAAACATTCTGAAATATCTAAGATACAAATTTAAAGAAGATTATAAATCTTCTGTACATATGGATGCATACACATTTTTTTTACTATTAGTAAACGAATAATGATGAATTTAAGTAGCATCGAAAAAATGCTTGGCAATATATATTAACCAAAAAGAATAAAGAAGTATGTTTTTTTAGTATATAAATACGAAAAGCGTATAAAGAATATATAGATCAGCTATAAGGGAGACCGGATTTTATTGGCACAGTTTTCACAATTCCGACATTAGATTTTTAAACAATTAATTATTATGATTAAATAAATATATCAGTATATGATAGAGAGAATCTTTCTCTACATTTTCATACCAATAATGGTTTTATAGTTTCAACACTATTTATAGTTTTTTTTTGCAATAAATGAAACATAGACATACTGCATCGTAGTTAACTTGCCCCGATATATGGGGTAAATTGGTACATGTCACAGTATAAATTGCCTCTATGATAAACTATATTAAATTAACAAAAACTAATAAATAGAAAAGTAATAGAAATAAAAATTAAATAGTTGATATATATAGTAAAAATTGTATCTTTCAAGGTTATTTTGTAATGATCAAATAAAAAATAGCAAAATGTTGTTACAGAAAAACAAGTATAAATTATTTTAATTCTATCTTATTTTAATATAAAAATATTAAATTAAATATATAGCGACAGAGTTAAATTATAATTGAATGTTCACACGTGCAACGAGTTAACCTAATTTTTTCTTATGATATGAGTCAACGTACCCCAGACTTATACACGTCTGATTTTGATCACTTTATTATAACAAATTATAATTGTTGAAAATAACGTATTGTATACTAACAAACACTTTTCTTTTATCATCGCTTAGATTTGCTTTCTCAAACCTAAGGACATTAATATGAAATTATGAAACGCAAAAAAATGTATTTGCCCGCTCTTAAATCTCACTTTTTTCTTTTTTTATTGTAACACTTGTTTGATTTAAATGAAACTTAGGGAGAAATATCTATGTTCTTAAATAAATATTTTGCAGTAACTATTTTATTATTTTCTTTATCATAAATACATGCAACGGAATGCAATGCCAATTTGCCTCTTACGCCAACAAACCCCGGTCTCGGCTACTGCTGTTAGGTTTTAAAAGTGGGGCCGACCGAGACTCGTTGGCATTTAAGAGGCAAATTGGCATTGCGTTCTATTTATGTATTTATAATAAAAGGAACAATGGAAAAGTTACTAAAATATTTCTTTGATAACATGAGCACTTCTTCTTAAGTTTTACTTAAAGAGGTCGCCTCATGTATAAACCGCTAGAAAAAAATTATTTTTAGAAATTTTTTTTGGAAGTATGTAATTGCGATCGATTTTTTAAAAATTTTTGGTGTTTTACTACATATATATCAAGGAGTAAAAAAATTTTTTTTATTTTAATATAGTTTATTTTGTAACTTTTATAAATAAATGTTGACGCAACCTCGTCGCCGGAATCATGAATCGGTGGAAAATCTAAAGCCTTTTGTAGTTGTATGAAACAAAAACAAAATGGTTTCTTATTTTGTATGACAGTATCTTGTCGATGAACCTAAAAAATAAGTTAAAAGTTGAAAATTAACAAAATGGCGGCACTTTAAAGACATAAATAATAATTAATAATATTTTTTAATAATAATTTTGACCCAAAAATTTCAATTTATTTATGCAATAATAATTGTTTTAATTAATTAATGCTTCTTAACGCATTCAAATGTTATCGCTTATAGAGGTAAGCTTTCAGATGTTTTTTCAAATAATGGAACTAATTTTACAAGAGCCATTTGTGAGAAGAACTTAGAGCTCTATGTAATCAAGAGCATCAGCTCAAAATTATAAACAAAACGGCCAAGGAACGAATGAAGTGGCACTTTATTCCATCACGCGTACCGTCAAAACTGTAATCGGTTCCTATAAGAGACCAAGCTTCCAAACTCGCTGTATTACCGCTCAAAGAAAGCGCACTTAATGACTAATATTAACATATAAGTATATTCTGAATTAAAGTTTAGCTAAACTCATTCATTTTCGTTCTTTATATTTTGATAGATACTATCAAGGAGCGCAGTATGTTTGTGTATTTATAGTAGTTAGCGTAAATGTCAAAACACATGCCCTTTTTTCTCTTGCAAGGCCTAGCGTTTTCTAGTTTTAAACGTTCCATTAGAGTTTATCTCTATCCTTCGATCGCCGCAACGAGCACGCGCTATGCAGCATTACTTCTTCAACCATGTTACCATGTATCCTACATTGTCTGTATTAAAGAATTGTGTTTTTCATTGCAAAGAGTGTGTGTTATCATTCACGAATATCATTTCGCCATAGATCCTTACGAACAAGATTAACTTTCTTTGTACTGTATTGCACATTTAATTTAACTCTGATGCTTTATATTTAATATTTCTACAGGTATTAAAATGGGGTAGAATTAAAATAATTTATACTTATTTTTCTATAACAACATTTTGCTATATGATAAAAAATCTAATGCCGACATTGTGAAAACGAGACTGGTCTCCCCTATTAGTAAATTTATGTTATATATCTTCATTACTGAATTTTTTATTACAATGCATATTCATTATTTTTATTTTCACGATATTATATCATTACTATTTTTATTATTTATGTAAAATATATACTTATATAATAATTATTATTATTGGGGATGTATAATTCTGGCATTATTAGCTTATGTACTTACTGAACAAGATTGTTAATACACATAATTTCGGAGCAGCATTTGTATGCATTTCCACATATTACAATACGAAACAGAAAACTTACTTGAAATAGATTTAGCGTTAAGCAAGTCACACCAAATATTATTAAACAAAACATCATTACTTCAAATATGGACAGCAAATGTTTGGACAATCTTCAAAAATAGAAGTATGTTATTTATGTAATAATAATAAACATACTACTATGTTGTGGGCGTGAATACCGACTTCATAGCTTGTCGGTGAATATCGACAGCACAAATTATGCCCTCCCTCATCAAAATTTTATTTTTTGATGTAATATTTTGTCGAATATTAATGTTTATTGCATGCTCAATACGATAGCTGTAAATGTTTTAATTGTAATTATACAGCAATCTATTGAATGACACGATTTTTCAATAAAAATTCATAATTTCATAAACTTTTTAATACAATACATTACGTTATTTAAATATATTATATTGTTAAAAATTAAATTACAGTTTAAATTATTATGGTTATTCGTATATCTTTATCCGTACCCAGCAATTTTGAACATTCCACAGATATACTGAAGATACGTAAGAAGCAGTGTTCCTACTGCTAATATCGCAATTCCTCCGATGCATAGAAGTGCATAGAAGTGCAACAAAATTAAATAAAAATATTTTTCTTGATCGATAAAATATTCCATTATAATTGGTAGACGAGATATATTTTTTGGTAAACCAATGAAACCATTTGACAAATGCTGACCGAGTACAATAGTCCAAATAGATATGGCAATAACGGCAACGACTAAAAAATTTTAAAAAACGTTTTTATTGCAAATTCTGCTATAAAAGCTTATCAAAATTTAAACTATTTAGCGCGCGACATGCACGCACGTACGCATGCACGTACGCATCATGTATGCATTATAAATACATATATATTAGAAAGATTTATATTATTTTATTAATATATTTATCAAATTTTATTTGAAAATATTTTATTATTTATGCAATTTGTGCAATATGCTATTACACAAATTGCATACTAACATGTTAGTAATCATCGTAAAGGCATATGGCAAATACTTTAATAGAATCCGTTTAATACATCATACATTAAAATATTATTTAATATGATTTAAAACTGATTTCATAATTATATAATAATTATGTGCATAGATCTGAAAATATTGTTTTACGTGTGAGCATAATTGTGTGACGTCTTGCAGTGTAGTTATATTCTACTATGATAGCAACTTCGTTTTTGTTTTTTACTTGGTTACATACATGCTCAAGTTGCATTAATAAATCCTTTACCTGTTATTCCAATAATTTCATATATTGTCTTTGTATATAATAATATTTAAATAATTTTTTAATATATAACAAAAATTCATTTGACACAGATGGTTGTGCTGTCAAATGCACATTCTGTGGGACAAAATCACTAGTTGTAGATCGCTCTTTAAAAAAATTTCATATTTTTATCGATAACACACACAATATCAAATAATTAATAAAATATTTAATAGTCATGATTAATCATATTGATTACATTATGAATAATTTTATTCCATTTAATTACTATTTTATATGTTTTAATCTGAATTAAATAATGTAATGACAATTATTCACAATTAGATTTCATGTACTAATTGCGATTCAATTCATCAAATGCTTTATCCTTTTTGATGACGTTTTTAAATCCCATAAGAATAATAAATACGATTTGCGCATGCATATGCGTAATATACAATGCCTGATCCACACCTAGTGTTTTTATCATAAGGCATCAACTTACAGCTTCAATGTTAAAACTGAATGAGTTGTAACTTGTTATGGAAACAGCAAAGAAAGACGTGGAAGACAGGACCTTGCTGACGAGATTTGAAGTACATTTTGACGTTATTAGCGTTGTCAACTACCAGTAATAATTTTATTTTTAATTATACGCTTATAAACAATTATAAATTTATATAACACTTATATTATGTAATACTGAGATAGACTACTTGATAATGAACAGATTTGCAAAATGGTACCTTATTACACAATATTACTATATTCTGTTTTTACCTGAAATATAATACCCGATATCAGAATAGTAGAGAAGAAAATAAATTGAAATCGTGTGAATTTAGATTGGTGATAGGGCCACAAGCCGATAACGAGCAACAAAATTCTATTGAACCTGAAATACTGAATTCCTAGCTGAATCATTCTCTGTGATGTCTCGAATGCGACTGGTTATGAAGCAGTCGACGAGTATGATTATCCCTTCTCCTTCTCCATCAATTACCTAGATGTTCTCTATTACAGTGTAAATTTTTAATGTAAATGCCATAATTTGTATAATACTAGGCTATACAAAATATCCATTGTGAGATCACAAATCCATTTATTTATATTTTAGTAGTGTTTTTTGCAATGAATATTATTAAGGCATCATTCTGATATCATGAAAATTACGAAGGAATATCTTTTAATAAAAAAAAAAAACGAGAAAAGACATTTAAAGTACAGAAGTCACATAAGCGCATATCTTTTTTTTTGATGCATTAACCTTATTTTCGTATGAACTCTCACATGATACGACATTTAGTCTTTGAGATGAATGTCTTCCACACACATATTCTTTCTTCGGCATCAATCGTAATTAATATTTCTCATATCAATTTAAAATATGGTAATTAAATCATCATAACATTTTCTAATGTAATGCTTATATTTTGCAAAATATTGTTATAATATTATTAAAATTATCTATTAAATATTATTATTCAA